TTAAATGTGTTTGACAATACCAAACTGTGTACGAAAATCCACTCGACAACACTCGTCCCTTTCCGTAAGTGAAAGACGTCGCAATTTGGCTTACCCTTGAATGACCTGAGAAAGACCCGGGCGGCGTAAAGGAATATGATGCCAGTGGAAAGGAAAAAAATATTGTTTTCGTGGCCTCTTTTTATAACTATCAAGTTGCACAGTGTGCAACCGGGACGAAAGAAAACTATATCCCCTCAAAACAGTCCATCAAGTCACCCGCCGCGCCCGACAAACAGCGCGGGACAACAACAATCCGAGATGCTCGCCATTCACTCTGTCACCCGGAGGGGGGCATTAGATCCTGTTTGTGTGACAACAAGTCTTCATTCGCTCATTCATCACCCGAGTGGCAGCTCCCGCACCCTGCTGTTCCACCAAACATAAACAGTGGTGTGTCAAACAGTATTTCATTTGATACGCGGTATCTATGACAATGTCCGGCAAGGTCACGGTAGTGTCACTGAGAGTATTTGCAAATACGTACACCTGAAAATACACTTCGTTGGGGAATAGCTCTACAATAGATCTACAGCCTACCAATCCTTTAGAGTTGCCCCGTGAATCTGTTGATATACTAACAATGAATTCGCGGTAACAGTTCGTGAGAGGATGTTACGTTTCCCGTATTCTTGTATTTCTGTGTAGTCACTTGAATGGAGCAGTCTCGGGTCTCATTGAAATGTTTTCTTATACGATTGTGATGAGAGAATCACGGTCAAGCATGTCCTGCTTGACTGTATTGATTTTTCCATCACAAGGGATAAGTATTTCAAAGTTTCATCGTTAAAGGATCTTTTTAATCAGATTAATTCTCATTTAATTCTTGGTTTTTTAAAAGAAATAGAATTGCTTGATAAATTTTGATATGTATTGTAAAAAGTATGTGATTTTAATTTGGTAGAATGACGTAATAACTGAGATTGTTAGTGGCTGTACCTTCAAAGGGGGTTGAAGTAACGTAAAATAATTGTCCCCCTGAGAAGGTATGTAAGTCCCATTTCATTCAAAGTATTTTTCATTTTCCATGTTTTTAATCGTAGAATTCTTGTTGTTTTTAAATGTTTTGGCTTAAACTTGCCGACAATCACCAGTAGCCAGAGGGATGGTGTAAATCCTGCTGGGTTACCATGTATGTAGCAGAAGTATCGTAAGTCCCCATGGTACCTAGTATGGTGACCTACCTTTGGTTATTGGTGATCTATAGCCCATTTTTATTGTGTACTGTTCTGAATTGTTATGAATTTTATCATGATATGCTAGTTTTAAATCTACATCTGTGATAGTCTAGTGTTTTTACTGTCCTTTGTCGACAGATTTTAATGTCTCTATGTATTAATATATAACTTGATTTAGTCACCATATGGCTGAAATATTGCCGCTGTGACTTAAACATTAACTCACTCACTCACTCACTCACTCACTTCTTATACGAGCTACGCCACTGAATGAAATGGGTTAAGCATCATATTCACATCTTTGTCACAACCAGGCGTCCAGTGGTCTAAAGCGATGCATTTAACTGTACTGAGTTTCGTCCCTTGGTTGTGACTGGATCGCATATCGTGGGTTCGAATCCTAGATTCGCATTTATTATGATATTTGGTCTGTCAATGCCATACTAGTGGTTTTTACCTTAAAGATCGGAGTCATGTCGTGCTTAAATACTCCAATATTAAAATGTTTCGATTTGATACAAGCTTTGGTGTAGAGTTGAACCAAACTGCAAATTTATCAGGACAACCTGTAAAATAATCATGCCTATCCCAGGTCGACCAGTGGACAATATACGGTGTGATGAGAAAAGCCAAATTTACACAAACACACACACACACACACACGCATACACACACACACACACACACACACACACACACACACACACACACACACACACACACACACACACACACACACACACACACATTAACACGCGCTCATACTTAACACGCACGCACGCACGCACACACACTCCCCCACCCCCACACACCACCACCCCCCATCCCCAACACACACCTCAAGCACGCACACACACACCCAAACACACACACACACCCCACACCCCACCCACACCCCACACCCAACACACACCACAAGCACGCACGCACGCACGCACGCTCGCACACACATACACACACACACTCTCAGCCGTGGGCGGATCATGATAAAACCAATTATTCTAACCGCCCCCGGGAAGCAATATTTACACAGCAAAACAGTACACGACAGTCATAGCATGTTTTATGGATAGATTCGGTGTTATTCTACTGTAACGAAAGAACCAACAGAAGTGAACTTAACACATTTGCCACAACATCACCTCACTCACATTAACGTGGCTGTTTGGTAAACAACGCAATATTGAAGAAAGATAAGAGACAATTTATGTGAATAAAGCGTGCTGAGACTAAAAATGAAATTACTGTATGATTGCCATAGAAAGAAAACGATCAACTTTATGTATAACAACTTTAGGTTTATTTCATATTGCGACGTTTCGATGTAGATTCTTACACCGTTATCAAGCTGGAGTGACAACAACCAAGTGATGATAGGTGTATATGCATGGCATTTTGTGATAAGCAGCAGATTAACCTTGACACCCATAGGTAATAGATAACAAGTAGCATACAGATTATTGGATGAAGCCAAATGTACAGTAAGAATAACAAATAGCACACAGGTAATGAAGCACATGGGTAATGAAGCCAGATGTATAGTAAGGATAGGGATGATTGCCATATTTTCAACAACCCTAAGCCATTGGTGGCGGAAGGGCCTTCTTTAAGATACGTCACGCCAAGACAAACATCTTTCTATTATGTATAACAGCCGGTTAATCCCGTCTCCATACAAGTGATGATTCACTTGTGCAAATATGGATGTGCAGTTGCATTAAATCTCACAACTTCAGTGCGGAGGGCCACGGCAGTCTTGTCGTCTTTGGCGCCTCAATTCGCTTTGCGTGTCAGATTCCTGTGATCGTGGATTCGAATCAGAGACTCGCCCTGATTATGAACCTTGTCCACACCTGTTCTTGTTTCGCCAAAGTGGTAAACGTCTAAGACCTGTATTACTTTTGGCTTTCTTCCCATATCAAGCTGACACGCCGAGCTGCAACGGAAATACTGTTCAAAGCGGCGTTAATCTCAACTCACTCACTGAGGAGATCACGTCACGAAATATTCGTCAAAGGGAGATAATTATGGTAGTTTGTGCTCATTCAAGCTCTCATACCCCCACGTATGGACGCCGACGGTGATTGTACGTACGCTTCTCCGGGTCATCTGTGAAAATGCCATGACGCCTGGTTTGACAATTAAATTCACCACTTAACTTAAAACGAGAATAGCCAGTATCGATTATCTGATGACAAAGATTCCAATGGGCGTAAGAGGCAAAATAGTGGTGGAAACTGAAAACCAGTGATGACACCAGGTGTTCGAGAAAATGGTAACCATATCCTGCCCTCGGGTAGCACCCACCCTCACACAACTTGCATAACAAAGTATGTGTTTGTTGCCTGACACTGCATACCAGTACACCTGCCATGCGACGGCGGCATGTAAATATACCATCAGGTGATGGAACGGAAATCCTATCATACGATAACACTGATTTTGTTGAAACTAAAAACGATATGTCAATTTTGAATTAGGCCTGCTGTGTACAAGTGCAGAGATTCCGCTGCTGATAAGTACAGACAAATAGTTAACACATACACAACTGTTTTCCAGATTTAATGCAACGCTATTAATCACATGATTCAAAGGCACGTGTGTCAGATAATCACTTAAAATAATATGACCATTATAAAACACAACTGGAAATCTGCTAACATAAACATGTTTTAAATGCTATCTGGGGCGGAAAGAGACAGGCTGTATCTATATGGAGGATTCATCACGAGTGTTTTTTAATATGGGTAATATCAACCGAGTCTTAGTTAATCGGTATTTGCCGAGCCTTTGGCGAGGCAAATACTGATTAACGGGACGAGGTTGATATTTCCCATATTAAAAAACACGAGTGATGAATTCTATTTATCATTTTCACATTTTTGCTTCCCAATTAAGGAATAATTGCATTAAACATTAACATCAGCAACTTGTCGAAATCTTACGTATAGATCGTGCGTAGTGATACATGTTTTCCATAACCGTGTAAATCAAAATAAACAACCTCCAAACTCCTTTATGGTATATTCCTTCCCAGAGAAAAAAAGTTCCTCGGATTATTTTAAACAAAATATTTGAACAGACTTTTGCAGAATAATTGAAATAATGTCTCCAACATAAAAGGTATCCATGTTGCACCGGCGAAAAAAGTCCCACTTCCGGTTATCTAATTTGCATATCTAATTTGCATACTTATGTCATTGGGGTATGACATACATGTTTTTATGTCATAAGCTTATGTCATGGATAAATGCTTTAGTTAAATGATAAATGTGTCTATTCAATTCCTGTTGTCAGGAGCTAGTATCCCTTGTCGACGGGAGACAGTCAACGGCACTAATGCAGTGATTACGGTATGCTCCCCAAGGTATAATATAACGGGTTATCCTTGAACAGGTCAAAACCGGAATTCAGCTACAGCCCGAGTTACCCCATGGATTGGGGCTGATTGGTTTTGGTATAACCAGATCTGTGGTCACCTTGACCCACAAAGGTTGTTCCACAAAGATCTTAGCGCTGCGAATGTTTGTTTTAATGAGAATTACGTTAGTGAATGAGTGAATGAGTTAACTTTAACGAGGTTTTAAACAGTATTCCAGTTATATCACGGCGAGCTGGTGATTTGATGAAAGTTCTTCAGAAGCTGCCAGTACAGCCACCGATCTTCAGTGCTCTTTTGGGATCAACGTATAATCCAAGAACTCTGCCCGACATAGAGACAGTGGACACTGCTGTTGATTATACAGCTATTGGGAACGTGTGCCATGGAGGCTTGACTAGGCTCCGACGGGTTCAACAACACTAAATCAGAATCAGTTGTTCGGCCAACCTCTTTCGCAGAGCTGCAGTGAGAATGTCGGTAGCTGTGATCGGATGATGTGTAAGTTTACTATTTTTTAAACGCACACCCACACAGTAAATACAATTGACCATGTTTTGTCAATATTTTGTCCTGTTTTGTCTTAACATCATTACTTATTCTGAATGTGTACACATGTATTTTCAAGTTAGCGACATTTAGTCAGAACTTGGGTTGGTGTGTTCCTTTTCCAAAGTTTGTGTTTGTATTGCATCTTTAAGACCAGGCTTGCAAATATGTACATGGACTGGCTATTGAATACATAATTATGTTTTTTAAAAAAAAACCTTACCATAGACGTCTATGGGAAAACATTCGTTTGAGTGTAATCTATAGGAGTACACAGGCGGTGATCGAATTCTCGAAGGTTGCGTTTGAAGAACAAGAAGCATAGTATTGATTGGCCATCAATACCGGAGTAGGCGGGGGTTTTCATGACAGACAGACAGACAGACATACAGATTGTTTATTTGAGTCTCACACCACAAAAATAATTACATAAATACATATAGAAGGACATAAAAGTGATCCACCCGTTAAGGGTTACGAGAGACTTAAAATATATCACAGTATGTACAGCATAAATATATTGGTGTAAAAGGGGTATGAAAATATACTACCCGTAACTAGCCATCTAAAATATTTTTTCTTCGTTGGAGAATTAAAAAGCAGGTTTTGGCTGTAAAATATACATAATATTTAAAAAAGTACAATAAGTTTATCAGTATTGCACAACTCTAGAAAGTTGGGATAGCTAAAACTCACCTTTTCGTATAAACTTTCACGCAAATCATCGTACACAGGGCAATCAAGCAATACATGACATTCATCTTCAATACTTTCCTTACACTGAAAATACACCCTTTCATTCACATTCATATTCGTATATCTGCCTGTTTCCAACTTCAGAGAAGCAGTACCTGATTAAACTATGTGTGCGTGGTTAGTGCCGGTAGGACAGAACATGCTCACCCTCTTCGCGAACACCCGGTGTCATCACTGATTGTCAGTAATCCATCCATATACTTTTCACCGCTATGTTACCTTTTACGTCTCTTGCGTTGACGTAGACGTTGACGTTGACGTTGACGTTCTCAGTTATATTGAAGTTGAATTACTCTCACCATAATTAACACCAGTAGAGCAGTTTGCCATAATTGTCATCGATGAAACAAACTTTCAAGGAAGCTAAATGATATGGTATATATTTGTAGCAGGTTTTTTGTCGCCGCCGCGCGAACCAACAACGTAACCAGTTTTCCTAGGAGCCAGACTGGGTTAACATTGAAAGACTTTTGATTACATCCACAGGGATAGATAATTACTATTTGTGACAGAACAGACTGCCGCTAATGAATAAGGTCAGAGTTACAAAGCACAGTGGTAATGTCAAGCTGTGAACCCTTTTGGTTCCATTCTCTGAGAAGCTGTGTACAATAGTCCTTCTGGGACCTTTACTACGGCTAAAACCACGTGGTGTGATGCGAGTCAGATGGTCGATGGTGGATTGTACACAAGTAAAATATTCATCGGAACTTGACCAAACCATTGTCGTAACGGTACCTTGTTGTCCAGTAGCATTCTGAGATGTGTAAGTAGGCATCGCAATGCTTTCGGCTATTTGTTTTCACATGGATGGGGGCGGTCGGGTAGCCTAGTGGGTAAGCGTGCGCTCGTCACGCCGAAGACCCGGGTTCGATTCCCGACATGGGTACAATGTGTAAAGCCCATTTCTGGTGTCCCCCGCCGTGATATTGCTGGAATATTGCTAAAAGCGGCGTAGAACCAAACTAACTCTCTCACATGGATGACTCACTGTTCATTACAGAAAACAATTAGTTACTCAACTGTGACAGTCGAACGTAATGTACCGAAATGATATCAATGTTCAGCGTCTTTTCGCGGCGTTCAGAGAGATGGTGGACTGTAGATCTGTCTTGTCCCTGTATTAAACGTCAACCACAACCACACCCCACTCTTTAACGTATGCTTCATTCTGACAATTCGATTAAAATTATGAATGTAATCACTCTGTCTATTACAATGGATTCCTATTAAAGTCAAAGCTATAATGGCGATACGCGGGAGTCCCTGGTGTCCATGGCACTTCCATAGCAATCTACTAAAGCTGCTAAACAGATTCATTATGAATAACGCAAGGACATCTGCAATTTAGAAAGATGCACATACGCTTCAAAATACTGCTACAAAGCTGTCACATTCCACATGGTTTTTTTCATAACCAATTCATTAACAAAACCCATACCTGGTAACAGGAGACACAAGGACACGCCCTAAAAGAGGGGTGGTGTAATAATTTGTAATACAAATAACAATTTGTGGCAATTTGTAAGATGACCCAGGTCGTCACTCCTAACTTGACTGTAAAATAACTTGTAACGTATCACAATATATATATATATATATATATAATAAAATAATAAAGTCAAATTAGTCCATCATCTTCTTTATATCAGTTTCATACATAGTACTTTCGCTGTCTCATGACAGCTCTTCAGTGTAACTGACAATGACATATAATGACGTCATACTTATGATGACGTCATAAATTACAACTGTGACGTCATAATGTATTTACACACTCCAGCGACGACACTAAGTAATTTAACAATTGTAGGGAGACATTTGAATTAAATATACAGTATTTGTAAAGTAACAGTGCAACATTTACGATTGATATGACAAATCTATTAATACATTCTAGAGTTCAATTTTGGTTTCATCAATTGGATAAACATTTGTTCTTTTTCCAGTCTCAGCTGCTTGTTACTTGTATACAATTTATAAAACGGAAAAATAGTAAATTTCCCGTTTCCTCAATCATCAATGTGTTTGCTGACACCTAAGCATCGAACATTAGGGTCTCTAATCTGCTGTTTGTGTACAGTGACTCTATCTTTTAATTCCATGCCGGTTTCACCGATGTAGTTTTCGCCGCATCCCGAACATCTCATAACATACACCACATCTTTGCTGCGGCAGTTCATGTCGGCTTTCCCATTGAAACCTTGCCATTTGCAAAAAGGAAAGTAGTACCTTCACTTATGATATATATAAATCTTGTATGCTTTTAGCGCAAAACAACACTTGTCTTAAAATGCATCAAAATCGTTCTTACCACACCACAAAAGACAATAAATTTCACTTTTTCAGATTTTTAATAGACATGAGTACTTCTTGGCTTTAATCATAGCCCATTTGGGTTCAGAAAGTTCCACTGGTGTGGCAGTTTTCTGACAGGTGGTACTATCTTAAGCAGGGGTCACATTTTGTGACCTTTTGACCTCTGGTGACCTTTATTATTACTGGATTAGATCTATATTACATACCAACATGAAGAGCATCAGTCTACAAACATTTTGAGTATTGCCTGTAAAGTTAATTCACTTTCTAGTTTCCCTTACCCCGAAATCTGGTCCCATGAATTCGACTTAGGGGCCCCCCTTTATGTGGTGATTACTACCACTAAGCTATGAATCCCGGAATGCTTTCAAAGTTTTTTTTCATCTATGGATAAATGACTTTCAAAACATCATACTGAGATTTTGTCACCCTAGGTGGTACCAGTATCTGGACTGGCTCATGGACTACCTGTGACGTCAGCCCAGCAACATGGTTGCTGTGGTAATCATAAGGTCCCCTTCGTGAGTTATCATATCTGCACGCTATGTCATCGAAGGAGCCGAACCATGTTAAGAGTTTTCAATGTTTGTTTACTAAATATATCCGGCGATGGACCATTGTAAAGCAAACTGACTTTGATGTTACCCATTTCTTTTTAATAAATGTTGTTGGGTTTTTTTATGTTACCTTTTTCTTTTTAAGAAATGTTGTTGTTTTTTGTCTTTTTACTGGTTTTTTTTCATAATTTATCTGAAGACTAAGGATATTCATTTTATTTATCTTCGATTTAATTGATTAAAACCGAACCTTTAGTGCAATGTCACTTGACACCTATTAGCAATCCTTACAGCAGGAAGCTGAATATCAATTTATGGATAGTCACACTGACAGCTGTCTCTGTACATAATTGCATAAGACACATACAGATTTGTCATTATATGTTATTTTGAATGGTTCCTCGCTACAGTTCACACAGCCAGTTAGATCGATAGCAGATAGTGATGTGATGATGGTGTGTTTGGGGTAAATGGGGTTGTATGATGTAATGGAGCCTTGGGTTATGGATAGGAACAAGTTATGCATTAATCGATAGCTTTACATAAATTGTCACGTGGTAGATTTTGTGGCACGGGCACCACCTTGTGGTGAGAAAAAACGATAATTCTACACCGCATCACCAACTAGGGAGGTATATGCCGTTCATCTGAACTACAGGCAAAATTCAATTTATCAATTGGAAGTATTGACATATCAAGCTACGAATTACAAGCATCAATCATGTAAATAGAAAGTATTGATATTTCTGATGGGAAGAATATTGCAAACAATTACAAGTTTATAACAATGGACGAAAGAATGAAACCTCTTTTGGTGTCCATGAAACTATTCGGAATCTACTTTGACCCACAGCAGGGTAGGAATACACTGGGACAGTCACCGAATGTCGATGAGAGAACATCTACCAGGCTACAGACATTCTTCAGCCTTCGACTGTATTGTTACATGGTTCTTCTTTTGCTGTGGTTCAATTTTGTCCGATGTGCTGTTGGCATATTTCCTCTGAATGAAAGCTTACCCTTGAGGATCATTCTGTCGTCCTGGTACATGCAGTGTTCTTTTAATGCAACCATCATGGTTGTTTCATGTCAGAGATTTAGTCACTTGCGATCCTTCTACAAACACTGGGATTCTCTTTCCAACAACAACAATGTGACGAAAGAAATTGACTGTGGAATTAAATACCCAATGAAGTATTTGAATGTTGCAACTTCAGGTGGATGGGCTTTCTTCTTCGTCAATATAGCTGCAGTTTTCGCAATCTCTCTCGGAAATTTCTCAAAGTTTTTCCTTGATGATATTGTTCGGCCATTTCCAAA